GGTTTAAGCATTTGCTCTGTGTCCTTTCTTGGAGCTAGAATGAAAGTTCTGTGAGGACAGGGAAGGTGTCTGCCTCATTTGGTGTTGCATCTTGAGTACCAGGCAGAGTGCCTGGCACACGGTCAGCACTTAACAAATATTTGTTGAATGAACGAATCAATGGAAAGAAAAGACTGATGCAACTCTTTGGGAAGTGCCTGGGAAAGAATGACTTCACTTTGGCTGGATGGGAGGTTTAAGGGACCATCGTGGATTTGGAGTTCATGTTGGTGAGAAATGCTTTGAATTGAAACTTTTGATTGAATTGCTCGGGTAGTCTCTTAGCTCAACTTTTGGAAAATATCCTATATTATTTTGTGGGAGAAGGAGTAAAGTACAAAGACCTTGTCTACATTTGAATGCCAAGACTGGCTGAAGGAGCTTTCTCACCATGGACAGGAAAATCTCTCAAAATTGGGTCCGGGCAGAAGGGGAAGATGCTCTGGGAAGCACAGGACACTGCAGGACTGTGTGGCCCATTATAGACCCATTTCTGAGAGGGCAGATGTGCAGCAGGAACAACCCTGATGTAGCCTCTGGTCGTTGCTGTGTAAGGACAGAGCAGTCATGACAGCCATTTTCAGCTGGGAGAGCTCCTAGTGGGTGGATGGGAGTGAGGGGATAGGGGAAATCCCATTTCCTGTCTTCACCAGTCCCCACGTATGAGGCAAACTGGAAACAGGGCTGGCAGAGATGACATTTCAGTATCCAAATTGATTCTAAAGTCACAGAGCTCCGGGGTGGGCCCCTTCTCTCCAAGCCGTTAACACTTCATGGCTGGCATCCCAATGGTTACACTCTCAGCTGCATGCTGAGGTATTTTAGTAAAAAGCAGGGCTCCTGCAGGACACAGGTTTTTAATTCATCAGAGAAGTGCGTCTCTTTGTAATTTTATGTTTTTTGTAGCACATGAGCCCACCAGATAACTTGGTCTGATGTGTGAAATTTGACTTCAGGAAATGAGAACTTTGTCTTTTTTATGTTTTAGCTATCTACTTTCTAATTGTCCTGAAAGGTGAAACAACTTTACATTAGAATATGTCTTGATAAGAGCCAAATTGTGGATGGAAAACCATTTCTAAACTATGGAATGATATCCAACTAAGAGTCAAGGACAGGCTAGGGCAGGCACAGTGGCTCACACCTATAATCCCAGCACTTTGGGAGGCCGAGACAGGATGATCTCTTGGGGCCAGGATTTCAAGACCAGCCTGGGCAACATAGCAAGATCCTGTCTTTACAAAATTTTATAAAAATTAGCCAAATGTGGTGGTGTGTGCTTGTAGTCCTAGCTACTCTCTGGCCAAAGCCAGAGGATTGCTTGAGTCCAGCAGTTGGAGGCTACAGTGGGCTATGATTACACCACTGCACTCCAGGCTGGGTGACAGAACGAGACCATGAGACCCTGTCTCTCTTAAAGGAAAAAAAAAAAAAAAAGAGCCAAGGATGAATGTCTGATTTCCCAACGGTCATGATCCAGTAACTCTCAGGCCTAGTGACTCAACTCATTCTTCGTGGGGAGGGCTCCAGCTCTGCCAGTTCAAGCTTGCCCAATCCTGCCAGGAAAATACTCTGCCAATATACAGGTGTCTATGCAGAGGTGAGACATTTTTGTGAATTGCCATGGGTTCAAGACCACCAAGTCAATTTTAGTAACGATTTTATTCAAAATATGTCTTAATATTTGGTGAGTGCCTATAGCTTTAAAATGTTTGTTTAACAGTTCTTAAAAGGCCTTACTCTAGTTAGCTGAAGGGGAATTCTATAGGCCAGTGGCTAAGGTCCTACATGCTGTAGTCAGACAGCCTTGGTTCAAATCTCCATTCTCATGTTCATTAGGATGTGACCAGTTCCTTAACCTCTGTACACCTCATTTTCCTCTTCAGTGAGATGGAGATAATAATAGGACATCCCTCATAAAATCGATTAACAAGCACATAGTAGGTGTTTAATGAATGTTATTACTCCAGCAATCTTTAACCTTGATAATAGAAAATTATTGCATAAAGCTTCCTTTGTGCGGCAGTTTTAAAAGCTGCTACAAATTCTCTGACTCTGTTCCCCTTGAGGCAGTGCCTGTGCCCTCCACTCACATCTGGTCAGGATTGTGACTGCTTTGATCATTAGAATCTATTGGAAGTGGCACTACGTAATGTCCAAGGATCAGTCATAAAAGAACACGCAGCTTGTGCCTTGTTTGTTGAAACACCGAGCCACTAGGAAGAGCCCTCAACTACCCTAAGGCTTCCACGCTGGAGAGGCCACTAGTAAGCACTGTGGCTTACATTTCCATCAGAGTCTAGCCATCCAGAAGTGGATCTTCCAGCCCCAGCTATTTCAGCCCTCAACTGCTCTAGCTACCCCACTCTGTATCAGCTGTCGGAGTCCTCCCAGCTGAGTTCTCAGACTGTGGAGTACAGACAAGTCATTCCCACTGACCCTGGACACATACCTGGCCCCGTGAATCATAAGCATAATAGAATGGTTATAATTTTATGCTACTAAATTTGGGTTGGTTTGATGCACAACAATAGGAATATGGAACATTTCAGAAATAACGGATATAGTGGTAAGAATGGGATAAAAGGGAAAATTTAACCATATCAAAATCACCAGATCCAATCTTGATCTATGTGCACATTTTTCAAACACATATATAGTGTCTAATCATTGCAAAGTTCACTTTCGAAGCTAAAAGTTCCATGTTAATCTGCAGGACCTGCAGCAAACAGAATGCCATATGAACTCCACAGTCTGAAAAGGCCTAAGGGGAAGCACACTAACCCATGTAGACAGAGATTCCCCTTGCTTCTGTTCTTGAGAGAACTGAGGGGAAATGAAAGCTGAAAATAAAAGCCCTTGGTTTAAATGGATCCCGATTGCATTTCATGCTATCAGATCAATAATGCAGATTCCTAAAATCAATGTGCTGGGGCAGTTTTAACAAATGCACTTGCCTGTTCATTAATATTCTGACTTTTAAATATAAACACACATACCTCTTTGTTGTGATCAGAATTACAGTATATTAAAGACAGCAAGATAAACACTACCCATTAGGTTATCAGTTTAATTTTATAAATGAGGAAACTGAGGTTCAGCAGAGCAAGAAAAACTTGCCATGATAAAAGACACAACGATGCCTTTTACCCAGCACCAAAGAATACGCCAATATCCAGGCCTTTCTTTGGATGCAGAAATAAATTTGAAAATGCTGAGTACATCCCCTAAAGTTCTATCCCTGGTTCAACTCAAATCACAGGAGAGCTACATATCGAATTTATGGTTTTACCTCCCTACATAAACACCTTCCCTCATCTAAGAAGGATTCACCATGCAGCCTAGTTTTTGTCATGGTTAGGTGTAAGAAATGGCCTTCTGTCATTGCCTCTATGGGGTTTGATATCTTTCACACTAAAAGATCCAAATGGCTGTCTTAGAGATAGGTCCATAGAAGAATTTTGTATTTCCTAATGACCTTGATTTAATTAGATTACAGAACTTCTGGAATGGATCTTGTTTCCCTTGGCATGCGGCTGTGTTCATACATGTGGTAACCGCATGTGAATCCTCTTTCATCCATTGACAGGCTGTGTGAGCAAGTCACCTTCCTAAGACTCCATTTCTGTATCGTGAATGAGGGTGACTATCCTGCAACCTGCATCAGAGTTGTTGTGAAGATTAAATCAGGGCCGGGCGCGATGGCTCAAGCCTGTAATCCCAGCACTTTGGGAGGCCGAGACGGGCGGATCACGAGGTCAGGAGATCGAGACCATCCTGGCTAACACAGTGAAACCCCGTCTCTACTAAAAAAATACAAAAAACTAGCTGGGCAAGGTGGCGGGCGCCTGTAGTCCCAGCTACTTGGGAGGCTGAGGCAGGAGAATGGCATAAATCCGGGAGGTGGAGCTTGCAGTGAGCTGAGATCCGGCCACTGCACTCCAGCCTGGGCGACACAGCGAGACTCCGTCTCAACAAAAAAAAAAAAAAAAAAAAAGATTAAATCGGGTACTATGATATGATGGCAACTTCCACGCAGGAAAATGCTTTCTCTTTTGCTTTTTTCTTATTTTTTAAAACAGCATAAGGATCTTTTCAGCTAGATTTCTAATAAAGTACAAACAGCTGAGTGCTTTTTTTTAACCTGGCCAAAAAAATTATTGTCATATCTGAAGCAAAAATACCTGGGTACATGTCCCATTTGTTCTTTTTTGAGGCAGGGTCTCGCTTTGTCACCCAAGCTGGAGTGCAGTGGTGTAATCACAGCTCACTGTAGCCTCAAATTTTTGAGTTCAAGCAAAGCTCCAGCCTCAGCCTACCAAGTATCTGGAACTATAGGCATGTGCCACCACATCCAACTAATTTTTAATTTCTTTTTGTAGAGACAGGATCTATGTTGCCCAGGCTAGTCTTGAACTCCTGACTTCAAGTGATTCTCCTGCCTTGCCCTCCCGAAGTGCTGGGATACAGGAATGAATAATAGCACCCAGCTCATTTGTTCGTAATCATAATTCCAAAGATTTTTATTATTATTATTACACTTTAAGGTCTGGGATTCACGTGCAGAACGTGCAGGTTTGTTACATAAATATACATGTGCCATGGTGGTTTGCTGCACCCATCAACCTGTCATCTACATTAGGTATTTCTCCTAATGCTATCCCTCCTAGCCTAATGCTAGGCCCCCACCACCTGACAGGTGCTGGTGTGTGATGTTCCCCTCCCTGTGTCCATGTGTTTTCATTGTTCAACTCCCACTTAAGAGTGAGAACATGCGGTGTTTGGTTTTCTGTTCCTGTGTTAGTTTGCTGAGAATGATGGTTACTAGCTTCATTCATGACCCTGAAAAGGACATGAACTCCTCCTTTTGTATGGCTGCATAGTATTCCATGGTGTATATGTGCCACAATTTCTTTATCCAGTCTATCATTGATGGGCATTTGGGTTGGTTCCAAGTCTTTGCTATTGTAACAGTGCTGCAATAAACATACGTGTGCATACGTGTGTCTTTAGAATATAATTATTTATAATTCTTTGGCTATGTACCCAGTAATGAGATTGCTGGGTCAAATGGTATTTCTGGTTCTAGATCTCTGAGGAATTGCTGCACTGTTTTCCACAATGGTTGAACTAATTTACCCTCCTACCAACAGTGTAAAAGCGTTCCTATTTCTCCACATCCTCACCAGCATCTGTTGCTTCCTGACGTTTTAATGATCACCATTCCAACTGGTGTGAGATGGTATCACATTGTGGTTTTGATTTGCATTTCTCTAATGACCAGTGATGATGAGCTTTTTTTTCATATGTTTGTTGGCTGCATAAATGTCTTCTTTTGAGAACTGTCTGTTAATATCCTTCATCCAGTTTTTGGTGGTGTTGTTTGTTTTTCTCTTGTAAATTTGTTTAAGTTCTTTGTACATTCTGGATATTAGCCCTTTGTCAGATGGGATAGATTGCAAAATTTTCTCCCGTTCCATAGATTTCCTGTTCATTCTGATGATAGTTTCTTTTGCTGTGCAGAAGCTCTTTAGTTTAATTAGATCCCAT